ATCTCCCTCAACCTCCTTCGATCTCCCTGAATCTCCACTCAAAAGCTTGTGTGACCTTCTGTGCTCTGACAGCGATGCCTGGCAGGACGGTGGAGGCCACATTTCCTTGTTCCCGCTTTTCACCTGCACCGGCGGAATGGCTGGCATGGGTCCTCCCGAAGGCAACATAGAGTTCGAGAAGACTGAGGGACACTCTGTGCACCGTGCATAATATACGGGCAGATCTCTCACAAGGCACAGAGACATGGCAGAGAGTCGCGAGAGCAGTCATGCTCTGTGCGCAGTCTCCTCTGGGTGAGGGTGGTAGCGGACTGGGATCCGCCAGGAAACGCTCCAGCGAGAGCCTCAAGACTCTCACTTTCATTGAGCACCGGTGCCAAACTGGCGAAGGGGGGAAGGGTGGCTCTTCGGCAGCCCAGGCACTTGGGGGCAGCATGAGCCCCGACTCTCTGAGACGAGGCATAGCTCGTTTGCGTCGTTTGTTGTGACCTGCTCCACGATGCCCAAGAGAAGACACAACTTTGACTGCCACATCACCAACACCCACATTAAAGGCTCGGGCCTCCAAAACATAGCGATCAGGGGACCAATGGTCGCCCAGTCACAGTGACGCTTGTGGAGTGCGATTCAGTTTTACTGAGACTTGATGTTGTAGAACTTGTTTACTGCCATGGTCGGGTACGTCTTTGTATTCCTGGGTCCCATGTAAGAAGCTTTGAGCCTGATGCCTGGGAGCGAGACTGAACGAGCAACCATGCTTGAAGACAATGTGCCTAATGTGCCTATCTCATCAACTCTCGAACGGCTTTCAAGAGGCCTCGGCAGAATGGAGGGTGCGAGCATCCCAGGGAAGCTGCAGGACTAACTCTCTTGATGGGTCTGTCATGGCTTTGTTCCTTGCATTTAAGTCGTAAGCTGCTGAGATCATTCGCGGGTTCCCTTTAGCTCATTGAATTTGTTTTCCTGACCTCCAAGGCATTCCTCGGCCTGCTTCGATTTGCTAAGCCTAAACATGTTCGCCATAAGTTCCACTTTCGGGTCGTATCTCCGGTCATTGTCGTGCTCGCGGGGAGAGCCAAGAAAGGATTCGCAAAGCCGCAGAGCATCCTCTCAAAAACACAAAACGTTGTCAACACCAGGAAGGTTAATAAGTACCTGTCTTCAGGAATTTCGACCCACAAGTTGGCCCGCAACACACAACAAGTCCCACAACCAAACCAGGGTTGGTGGATGTTGGCGGGCACCATGGTTGCACAAAGCTCATCCAGAGGCGTTGCGATGTCCTCTGGCTCGGTTCCCTGACCATGAGGCCGCCATGAGTCACAAGACCCCTCCAAGAAATTTCGAGGCTACTTTGTGAGATTTCCTGAGATTTCGGAGACTGTGTGTGACCACCGCCTGGAAGACTTCACGAAACTTTGCCAGGGGAATCGAACGAGTCTCCTTCGATTGCCCCGTCCAACGCCGCCCGACCACGCACATGCCGAATGCCCAGAAGCTGGATGCAATGGACCCCGTGATTAACGACTGCACATGGACAAACATAGCAATCTATGATCCAACAGCAGGTGCAGAAACTGTTCCGTGGTCCTTGCTGATGACAATGTTGTAGTTCCGCAATTTGCGGTCCTGAACTCATTACACACATCTACATACAATCATCTGCACACACACCGACCTATGCCCGCGCGCGCGCCAAACACACCACACATTGATTTCCTGACCAATCTTAAAAAGGCTTAAAAACTGTCCAACCAAGAATCGAAGGAACAGGTGCAAGACCGGAGCTGGCCATCAACCTGCGTTTCGCCACGCAGCATGGTGCGGCTGCTTTCTGCTTGATCCGATGCCCGACAACCGGAAATCTTTTTCTCACCGCAAGTCCGCCCAACTTCTGCCAGGAAGTCCTGCATCGAAACTCAATGCAAAACTACTCTGCAAATCCCTTACATACCTTAAAATGTTTGTCCTCCAATGCCGCGCGGTATTCTGGCGCAGCCATGACCTCACAAGAGGTGAGTACAACACCAACATTCGGCTGTGTCCACGTGTCTTCCAACACGACAAAATCTCTTACCGGCTTGTGGCAGAAGTCCGACAAGCGCCTGGTTGTGGCCAAGACCTTCGAGCAGGACCAAGCGCTTCTTTGGCGAAGTCGCTGCCTGCTGCAACAGTTTAGCATGCCTTTTGTGAGAGGTGCTGACCAAAATCCAATCGTGCGACCTGAGTTTGTGCATAGCTGCATTCGCATACTCTTAAAACATGGAGGCATGGGACTACACTGGAGCCTGCTTTTTCTTTCTGTCGCCAGGATTTGAGAGCTAGAGCCCTTGTACATGACATACACACCATAGATTCGTGCCACGAAAAAATTCTGTACTACGATCAGGCGGGCCAATAAAGCCCAGTGAGACGAAACCCTCTACCCCGCCCCCCACAAGCCTTCTCGGCCCAGTCCGTCCGACTATCGATTGTGCCCCTACTGCCTCTCACCAACCCTTCCTACAAAAAGAGCCCCCTCACTGAATGCCACAATGCACTTATCTCATCTTGCTACTCCCCCTTGTATGGAGTTTTGCAGTACTCACCTGGCCTGCAGACAGGTCCTCATCTGCACCTGTTATTGCCTGCCTCCTCCTTCTTCGAGATTCCTCCCCAGGCATGCTTCCAGGCATGTGACTGCTTCCGGTTCTCTGTCGCTCCTGTGCTTGTCCAACGCTTTCCTCGCTGATTCTCTTCCCAACTCCTGGCTCCTGGTCTCTTGTGGTTCTCCCGCCTTCTGCTACTCTTGCCCGTTGGGTCTTCCGGTCTCCCCATGCATGCACAGAGGCACCCAGCCCCATCGCTTGGGACCCTTCGTGCCCCTTTTCTGCCTCTCCTGTGCTCCTCTTCTTCCATCTGTTGCTTTCGTGCCCGTTCACTAATTCAAGTCCCCTAGAACCCCTCGAGGACTCGCTCCTCCCGACCCTGGTGCCTCGAAGCACTGCTTCGCCTGCGCCACGGGACACACCACGTCGGCCTTGTGACACGCGTGTGACGAGACAGAGGCGACAGAATATGTGACACTCTTGTGACATTCTGTAACCCGTCCCCTGCCAGCATAAGCTCTTCGCAGTGCCATTGAGGTACAAGAGAGGCATGTCAAGGCAGCCGATCAAGTCCTCGGAAGCGACAGGTTACTGTCTGAATCGTCTTGGTGTCCCAGCAACGTGCTGCTGACCAGCGTGCATGCCCGAACGCGGCGGCATGCCTCCTAGACTCATCACAAGACTGATGGACATGTCCAGAATCTTCTGGGATGTGACGGCAATATCGGCAATGCTGGGTCTCGCTTTTGCTGCAACCCAGCCGCAGTCGGATCTAGGCAGCACTGCTCCCGTTGGCTTTGTGCCGCTTTGCTGGCCGCTGATCTGCAACACAGACAGCCTGGCACGGTTTCGGGGTCGAGACGCCGGGAAGATGTGTGTTTTTCCTGCTTCTTTTTGGAACGGGCTCCGACTCTCCGACGCTGCAAGTCTCACAATTCAGTTGAGGGCACCCAGCGGGCGACCGGCAGCTGAGAGGCAAGCAGGCAAAGCCTTTTCCACGGCAGCCCAGGTCGCTGCGGGGATCCCCTGCAGTTTGCGGATGTCTGCGGATGTCATTTCTTGCGGGAAGATCGTTTGAACCCATGTCCCCGCCCCTCCTCTAGGGGCCAATGGCAAGAGACCGGGGAGTCGAGCACCAACGCCTTCTCAAAAAAAGGAAAGGACCATGGCGAATCGCTACGGTGAAAGCTTCCAAGAGTGCTGAAAACTTGCTCTCGGTGATCTCAGGCCTCGCCATGGCCGAGCGCCGCCAGATGCAAGGCAGCCAACGAGCCGATGGAGCGGCCGAACACCACCATCGGCCCTGAAGCTCTGTTATGCTCTGTTATGCTCTGTTCATCTTCCAAAGTACAGAACACATAGAACACCGAGGGCTTCATGGCGGTCTGCCTTCTGCGCGCCCATGTTGCTCCAGGAGCGCTGGGAATGCCAGCACCACGTCCTGTGATACGCGTGGGGCCCTTCGGTACACCCTTCAAAGCTTCACAAGCATGCATCAACGAGAGACAGTGCTAGTACACCGACCAGAAGCAACTCAGGCACACGCCAGCACATCCCGTCGCATGGTGGCCATCGAAGGGACCCCGGTCGACCTCTATGTCACATCGCATCTCAGAATGAGGTTACAAGCCTCTGTGTGCCTAGATTGACATGCGAGGCAACGACCAACCAAAGCCACGATAGTCCACGAGCAGCACCTTTCGCAACCAAACGGAATAGCAAGACACACACATACAAATGTGGCCGCGACCCGGCAAGTTGCAACTTGCCATCTGTGTGTAGAATTTTGCACGGTACTAGAATGGAGCACACAAGGTTAACTGAGCAATTTGCTGCTCTACTGATCAGAACGTTCCATCGAAGGTGGGATGAATGTCCGAAAACGGCTTTGCACCGTTGCGCTGGGTGCAGAACCCCAAGCCCGAATCCCTAACCTCGAAACCCTCGACCCTGGACCTAAACCCTAAACCCTAAGCCCTAAGCCCTAATGCCAATGTAATCAAGGCACATCTGCAAGGCCCTTCGCAGCCAACTGATGAATCTCGGGAGACCTGGAAGCTGCGCGTGGCCGCAAGAGCCCGCGAGTAAAAGTGTGGACAAGGAAAACGGAAGGAACATCCACACGGCTGTGTGTAGCGCATATTTGCGCACACATGCACTCAAAGCCGAAAATCACACAAAAGGTCCTATCAGGCACTGTGCATCTTGGCATTTCTTGCAGTTTCCTATCAAGGCCGCCGCCTAGCCGAGAGGCCAGCGACCTCTGCATTGCCACCAAATCGCAGCACGCGAACCGGCGGGGCTGGATCCTGCGCCTGCATCATGGAATTGTTCTGCTGCGCATCATCAGTGCAAGGCACTGAAGATGTTGGTACAAGTTGCAAATTCCTGCCGGCCTTCAGCAGGAATACCTCAGATAATCATTCGTCCACATGGCGGTCGAGCAACGCCTCCCTCACTGCCAGGGACACATAGGCGATATAGGCAAGCCACATAGCTCAAGTCTGTGCCATCAGACACTCGTAAAGTTCCGGTCGCGCACTGTACATTCGCGCCCAACGACAGAGAACTGCGCGCTGCAGCCTGACAAGCTTGGATCCAGTTCGGGTTTTCCAATGTCTGCATGAAGCTGGCGTTAGAGACAGGCGGCAGCCTCTGTCAAGCGTCTTGGCACCCAGGCAACAGATTTCTTCTCCTCGGCTGATGTTGCGAGCTGGTCGCAGCTTCACGGCTGCGCGGCGACTGTCGAAGTGAAGTTCTCGATGACGTTCTACGTGGAAGTTCGTGGAAAGTAGAAGCGGATGGCCCCACCCTGGCCCTAGAGTGGCCACACAGTGGCCCTACACGGTGCCGAGGCACGGCGGTGGGGAGCTGCGCCAGCAGCTGCCGCAGCGCCGTGCGGAGGGCGCCCCAAGGCTCTTCGAATGGTTCCTGCCGTCACTCAACCACTCGGCCGTCACTCGGCCCGATTCTCTCCCTTTGTCCTGGCTCTGTCGCCCTCAACTGAAGTCTGGCACCGACAGCAACCCAAGATCTACACTAAACATGAACGCATGTCCACATTTCTACTTGTTCACACGTTTCCAAATTTTCTTCTTGTCCAGATCTCTACGTTTGCACCCTGGAACTTTCCAGCGCCTCCGCGTTTCCACAGCAGAACTTTCCACCATCTACAATTTAACAATATGGAGATGTGAATATGCAGCAGGTTTCACGGTGAACAACTGAAAATGTCGAAGCATTGAATGTTGAATTTGCTAGGGTGGACACGCGAGATGCACGTAGGGGTTAATTCCAAGATGACTCTTTTGCGGGGGGCAGGCTAGTGTCATCTTGTTCTGGCCTCTTTGGCTAAGCATAGTTGATTAGACCAAGTACACAATACAATGGTTCCGAATGATACTAGTTGACCTTTCCCACCCTCCGGCCTAACAATCGAACGCGAGACCACAGGTTAACCGACCAAATCGAAACAATTAGGGGTCAACTCTATCAGAATTATTCAGAATGCCTCTGCGTGACAGCCGTTTATCTAACATAAAAACTTAACATAACCACAGCACAGGGTGAAGCACTGGTGTAGAATCTACACTGCAGATGTTTGAAAGTGCTGTTTTCAATACTTTGCAAGAGAGTCCGAAAAGCATGCGATCCGCTCTGATCCACACGTCTTTCCGAATTTCCACGCTACGAGTTTCCACATTCCACTTTCCACCTTACAACTTCTCACTTTCTGGATGTCCAAATCTTTCCACATTTCCACTATCGACCCTATTTTCCACAGCTCTCTCACTTCTCGACCCTGTACTGGACATGTGGAAAGCTCCAGGGTGGAAAGCTGGACATGTGGCAAGGCCCCAGGTCGAGAAGTGGCAAGTGCGGAAGTGGATCTTGGAAAGGAAGGGGGGCGGAGCGAACACAAATATTTTATTATGTGTGTGAAAACCTCGGCAAGAAATAGACACAAGAGGAACAGCGTCGGGGAGGAGGTGTGAAACTTGTGGTGTCGACCAAAGAAAATGAAGAGTGAGGAGTACGACAGCTACGACAGCTCCAAGAAGCTGCAACACTTGGAACGCGCCTCCAGAACTGATTCCAAGAGTGCCAGCACCGATGCGTAATCCCCCAGCCACACCCGCGCCACCACCTCCAGGCACTGCCCGCAACGCAGCTGCACTGCACTGCTCTCCCATATTCACAGGTCTCGACAGGCCCCTGGCCAGGACCTGCTCCGCCAGCTCGCCCGCCGCACAGGGCACAGGAGCTGCCCGGCCGCAGCGCTGAAGCCGCTCAAGGACTTCAGACATTGCACACGCCTACCGGCCTTACGTAGCACGGTGACTCTTGGCATCCTGGCTTGCACCGTACGCTTACGCCTGTTCCTGTACATTTGCCAGTTTTGCAGAACCGCATGAAAGTCCGAGGCACTAGACTCCCATTGTACAAGAGGTTCAGCTATGAGTAGAAGGAAGAGAAATGAGCTGTTCCACATTGCTTTTGACACCGCACGTGGCAGAGCGACACTGCTAGCCTGCAGCATCCCACCATCAACTTGCATTGCGCTCGGAGTTTTCTTTGCTGAGGCTTTTCTTTTCAAGCGGGCATGAAGCTGCAATGCTTGGAGACACAGGTGTGCCCACTTTCCTTGCTATTGCACACCAGTTGCCAGTGTCGAAGTAGCCTTGAGAGGAGAGCACAAAGCGAGCAGAAGCTGAGTGCAAAGGACAGAGGAACGAGAGAGGAACCAGACAGGGGCTCAAAGGCTCCAAGACTTTGAACAATGCCTACTACAGTAAGGCCGCTGACTGTCCAGTACCTCCAACTCGGGCAGGTGACCCAACCTTAGAATGATCAAAATGCGTGCAAAAATTTTGTCTTGTGTGAGTGCGCTTCTTTTTGCGGTTGCTCTGTTGGAGGCGCCAGGGGACATGCAAAATAAAGAGATTGTCTAGGTGGATGGCAGCTCCAGCAGCTCGCCCTCCCTGTACACGTGGCAATACCTTTGGCCTGGGCTCTCTTTTTAGCATCGCGTGTCGGTCGTTCTTCAAGTTTAGGTCTTAGGGTTGGGGGGCTGCTGCTAGGTTCGCAACACACGGGCGGCTTCTCTGCCCAATCGCTCTGCTCTCGTTCACCTGAACCAAGCAATCACAGCAAACTCCGATGCCTGTGCAATGCTTGCTTGGGCTCCTATGAAGCGACATCCGACCCTCGACTGCTCGTCTGCATCATTTGCGGGCTTGTGGAAGCTGACACGGCCAACGAAAGCTAGGCCCCCAAGGTGGCGAAGAGCAACAACCGCACTGGCTCCCTCAAACGATCGTCCAAACAAATTTGCAGCTGCTGCAGTAGCGGATTCGAACTTTGGGGAAGTTGCAAGCTGCAAGCTCAGATAGCCTGGCAGAAATTGTCAGCACCGTTTCCTCTACACTTCTTGCGCGGAATATCTGGCGATGTTATGTCGACATGCTACAGGTCCTTGGGTGGGGGGGGGCTCAAGGTTCTCGATCTCTGCCCCCCCCACCCCTCGTGTGACCTTAAATCCCTGAGATATCAGGCCCAGTCCTATCTGGCCCAAGACAAGCAGGTTGCAAACAAAACTCCAGCAAGCTCAAAGGAGCTAGCTAGCTTTCATGACTTGCACCATGAAAAACACACACACACACACACACAAGCCGCCGCCTGCTTCGTTGTCTCCTTCTTTCGAAGTGCTTCCCACTGCCTAGAGATGTTGGCGCACACACTGAGAGGCTTCAGGCAGACAAATGTTGCCTGGTCAGGCTCACTGCCTTCTTCACACCGGGCGTTCTAAAGCTCCATGGCACGAGTACGTCCTGCGAGGAATGGCAGCAATCGACCCTCGGGCCTAGCACTAAAAAAGATTTAAAAAAAAGTGCGCTTGCCAAGCTGCGCCTGTGCTTCGAACCGATGTCGTGATCGGGAGCGCTCACTATCCTGCCTTGACCAGATTGGCAAGCTTCGCAATCGCATGAAAGTGCGACATTGGTTGCGCCTGCCTACACCTCTGCAAGAGCTAGCTAGCCGAAAGCTTGGGCTCGGACTCAAAACTCCAGCAGTAAACGAGGAGCTGACCATCTGGTCTCAGCAAGCGCCTTGGAAGCGTGGCAGAAGAATGACACGTCCCAGTGAAGTGTGCCGCAGGCAAGCCACGCTGCTTCTCGCAGGGCCTGGAGCAACATGAAGGAGGACGGCGATCCAGGCAATTGGGGCAGAAGTCGCAAGAGACGGATGCGCTGGCGTCATGTGAACTTGCAAAGGCCTGGATTCGCCGAGGTTCAGTCGATAAATGATGCAGCACCTGACAGCTGCAGCTCGGTGGCACGTCATGCATGTCTAGTTCATGTGCGAGGAGTTGAGACAAACCAAGACACACTGGTAAGAGAAGGGACGATGTTAAGAATTCGGCGGCAATGGAAAGCACCGCGTCGAAGCTGCCACTGCGCAACGGCGCACACAGGCAGTCGGAGACCTCGGTGCCAGCAGTATCACACGTGAGTGCACGAGCTCTCCAGGGGTGACAAATTGACAAAGTCCGATCAGGCATTGGCCATGCAGCAGACACCATGCTCCTGAAGAGCTAGAGTCAGCGCAAGCAACGTGTCTCGGGAGCTGTAACAGACTCATGATCCTTGGCTGCAATTTCTGCCAAAGGCCCACTGATGTCCTCGAGGTCGCATGCTGACAGTTCAGAACCATGACAAGCAAACATGCACCCAGTGCCACCCCCACTTAAGAGCGGCACGCTTGCCACTGGAAAACACCCGGCTTCCTTCACATGCGGCCTCAACCGCCACTGGCTTGCTTGGGTCGGGACTTTCATGGACGAGTACTGATGGCAGTACGACCGCTGGGGAGGTTGCAAATTCTTGCCATTGCCTGCAGCATCACCAGACGAGATCATTCTGGACTCTGAATGCTTCACACAATGGCGTACCAGGGTCAGAACCACATCCCAAATCGGCAACGAGCGACCCCCGCGGCAAGCCACGAATGAACGCCTTCCGGCCGCGATTGCTTTTGCCATCCTCCCTTGATTGAATCCTGCCTCCACTCTGGGCCAGGCTTTGTAGCGCCTTAAACTCAGTCTCCATCGGAGAGCAATGAGGCCGGCAACAGAAACCAGCAGAACACGTAATCTCGTTCCTAAGTGCTCCAACGTATGATTCCAGTGACTGGCAATCGTGTCATAGACTTTATGTACATTCTCTGCCTGACAGGACACACTGACACATTCGGATTCGGGCAACACAGGTGAAGAGACAACATGTCGAGAGGCCTCGATTTCTGGCGTGCGCAACGGGTTTTCGCTGTCCCCTTCAGGCACCTGATCATCGCAAACACATCATGACACATCCCAGCCGCACCACCGCAGATGCAAGAATCTGCATGAAGCCACAATCCCGGATAAGGACAAGGATGCTGCACTCGGCCCCAAGCAATCACTGCAGTTGTCTTCTGCTCAGGACCTTTCAGCTCCTGAGTATTGCGAGGATGGACACTGCATTGCAACGGACTGCACAGTAAGCCACAGATGCACCCGCCCTACTTCAGCGTCAGAATTTCGCAGCCTTCGGCCTTGTCTACGGACAGTCTATCTAGATCTAGACGAAAAAAGATGGGTGAAACAAGCAAATTGCCGAAAGCATTGCAGATACTCACGGCTCCACAGTGCCATTCTGCCTTACGGCTTGTGCGGCGTGCCGTGATAGAATTTCCTGAGTCCAGGGTGAGACCTCCACTAAAGCTAAGATAGGTGTTGCATGGTGTTGTGATCCATATGCTTTCAGCTTCGAATGTGCAATGAATTGCAGGCAAGAGTCCACTTGTTGAAGTCACCTCAGAGCAGAGCTGAGAAAAACCAGTCAACAAGTCACGCGTCCCTTTTTAATCAGGGCTGTGAAGAAACAGAAAAGGGGTCAAAACCGTTCAGCCACCCAACCGTCAACCGAGATGCACTGGGGAGCTTCGATGGTTGGATCACCTGGATACTTCTTCTCAAACCTGGGCTTCCCACATGAAACCCAGAACTGACTGCACCAGGGGTGCTCAGATGTGCACGGTGAGAGTATCAACAGTAGCCACCGGAGGTGGGCCCTTTCAGAACTCCAACGCCAGGAGGCATATCTTCGAGCTTCCGCGTCCGCCATTCACACAGCATGGCATCAAACCTGCAGCTTCGCTTCTGCTTCAGGTCTTGCGAATGCCTTGCGAAATCTGCACTGGCAGAGGCCCCGCACCGTCCATCCCAAAAGTTCAGGTGGACACCCTGGTCAGTGAGGGGATCGTATTCCTTGGCTGAGCTCGCGATTCCTTGAACCTGCTGAATGAAAGATATGAAAGTCTGACTCATTGTAAAACCTCAGTTTGGGGTCTGCAAATCCTGAAAGCCGTGGTTCGCGTCCACCGGCTTTGATAAAACGGGCGTAGTCACCAGTCTCCTGTGTGATGCCGACCAACTCATCGATGCGAATTTCTCCAGCAAACTCCGTTTGGAAGGTGCAGTCGCCTGGCTCCACTGTGTGCTTAGATGTGCTACTGGCGGCAGCGAACTGAATTGGTGCACCTTCTCTCATGCACTGTAATTTCGTTTCAGGCTTTGATGTAGATGAAAATGGCCTGTTCCATCTGGAAGCATACCTTCAGGACATTGGCCACCAGGCTGGCTAGCCTCGTCACAGAGTCTGCTCGCCCGGCGGAGTCTGCCTAGGAGCTTTTGTCGGCACAGGCCTCGCAGCTCGCACTCTTCTTGCCCAGCTTGCCGAAGGGACAAGGTCCTGGCAAGCCTCGAGCGGACTCGAGCGGTGATGCCCTTCAATGGGTCGAGCATCTGTGTCTGCACCAACAAACGCTGCAAGTCATCACATCTGCATGCACACACCAGCTCAGTTCGTGACTGAACCATGCAGCATTTGGATAGAAGTTTAGCTTGTTCCTGTGATCAGATGAAGTGGGCCACCACATGCGACGGAACTAGGCATGAGAGAAGTGCGATTCTGCAGTGTGAGAGGCAGGCTTGATGTGAACTCACTTTAGCTAAGCGGCCACTTCTGGTGCGGGAAGTTCGCAGGTGATCCTTCAACCCAATTCTCGCAGCCGACAGTGTAGCCAAAACGCTTGAAGTTCTCGCATTCGAAGGGGCCAGTGCACTCCGTAACGTCGAACTCGTTCATGACCTTACACATGTGACTTGACGGGCCTACATGGTGCGTGCCAGAGCGCACAATCAACACTCTGAGCTGGATACCGAAAAGTTCATGCCGAGGTCAAAAAGTGGTTGCGTGGCTCGTGTCCATACTTTGTATCGGCGAATGCGAGTTTTCGGGTCTGCAAAGTAGGTGCCAGATCGGGATTTGGCATGCCAGACAATCTCATTGTGCAAGTAGAAGAGTGCCGCGCCAGCAGTCGTTAAGTCCGCATTTGCACAACAGCTGTAGTTGGCTTCACTCTGAACACGAAACAGATGAAATGTCATCAGTGGCGCGCTGCTGGCATTCACCAACTTCGGGTTTGTCACCCGGTAGTCTGGATGGAAAGTCGAAGAATACTCGGGAGGAGGCGGAGGTGGAGGTGGTGGAGGCGCTGGCCCTTTCAAGCCATGACAATTGAATTGGTGGCCGTACTGAGGCTTGATGCGGAGACCATGCCGCTTCCAACAAATCCACATGTACCAACCTTTGTGCACGTCGCATCTGCAGTCTCCTTCCAGAAAAGCTTGACACTGATAAGCAGCAGCTGCCTACTCTTTAAGTCTTACCCTTGCCCAGCTACTGGAACCTGCTAACTTTGTTTCGCCACATCGCATCCATGCCTTTCACAAAGCCATACTCCAACCAGCAGCTTTCATGGCAATACCGGAAGCTGCTGTTGGATTCGGAAGAGTCGCCTGTGGGAATATGCACACAACAGGTCACTGCGGTGTCAATGCAAAGCTCAACAATACTCAACCATATGTCAAGTGAATTGCTAGCCCCACGGCATCTCACAGTGCATACCGAACCTTGCACTGCGCGTCTTTGCAACGCCTGCAAGGAGCACGCCGAGTTGTTGCTGATGCCACTGCTGCCACCGTCGCACTCGTCATCTTCGGCCAGGGGAAGCGAGGCCGCCAGCAAGGGCGGCAGCGTCAGCAAGGAGAGCGTAACCAGGCCAGGCATCTCTGAAATGGCGTATATAGTGGAAAGGAAGAAACCCCGTTGTATCTTGTGAGCGTGCAAAGAAGTTAGGTTTTTCATGAGCATCTACGGATACGACTTCACAAGCTGGCTAAGCGGCTAAGCACTTTTGGCAGGAAAAGTGGACCTGTGGAGCCGCAAGGGCATGTCGATTTTGTTGAGGAGGTGTGCGTGCAAAAGGGCTAGCCTCGTGGCTCACACGCTCTCACGCTCTGCCCGGTCCTGTCCACTTGGACCGTGCCGACCTGAGCCACCTGACTGAAAACCTTGAAGGAACGTTGTGAAATGTGGCAAATCTCTGCAGGGCCTGATGCTTGAGACTTTGCCTGTGCGGCCTGAGATGCAGAAGTATGCGGGGCGCGCTTCGCATCATAAAGCAGGCGCTCTGTGCCACTCCTCTGAGGCCTGGGCTTTCTTCTTCTGAGACCTTTGCTGGCGGTTCCCTACTTGGGCTATGACTCGATCCAACATGGCTCGGGGGGGAAACATGTCTAGTACCCAACGAATCCCAACAATCTTCTCTGAGTGCCACACCGCTTGCCCCCCGACCGTGGTGCCGGTCCTGACGTCAGCAGAGCTCGCAGAGCTCCAACCAGTCGGGCCTTGGCCTGATGCTGCATTTATGGGTCGTGCCTGCAGAATTGGCTGGAGCCTGCAGACGCGGGACAGGCGATCTGATTTCAAGGCTTCCCGTCTGACACGGGGTGTCTCGATATGTAAGTGTATATATATATATATGTATCTATCTTTACTTATGAACTTCTTTATTTATTCATGTCTATCCCGGCCTCCGCAACCTGGGCAGCCAGGAGGCGGCGGCAGCTCGCTGCAATCGTGCTCCAGCATCTCCATCCCAAGCACTGCATACTACGGGGCCTACCGTGGACCAGTGCGTGTACAGGACCTATCGCATTGCGACCGGGTCGCTGTCCTGCTTGCAATATCGTGGAAACTTGCATCCGCACTTGTGACATGGTGAGCCGCGACACGCACCCGTGCAAGATCTTGTCAATCTTATCTGACACACACACACACATGAAATCGCATTCGCCGATATTCGCAGGCAGCTGCAGGCGCAGCCAGGCAGAAGCATGGTGCAGCCAACGGGAGGTGGACCGAAAGCACGTTCATCTCACGGCCGCGGACCATGCCCTTCACGAAGCTTTTCATCTGCGACTGAATCTTTGCCACCTGTTTGGCAAACAAATTTGAGCTCTACATCCGGTGGCCTGATAGGCCCAAAGTTCTGTAAAGCGCAGCACAACCTTGCCTCTCTTTGGTGAAGTGGAATCTGGTCGTTGATGAACTCGCTGCCAATGCTGCTTGCACCTCTGTGACAAATTCTACTACACCGAATCGATTGCCTCACAAAGATCGACTCCTCACATCGCGCACTCGTGAAAAGCCCGCTCTGACACAGAGGCACCGCTTGCGCCTGAGTATGCGCTCCTGGTGCTGTTCTTCTGAGTACTGGCGGCACTCGCCGTCTGGGCGCGAGAGAGCGGAGAATGGGAAAACCGAACGTTCGATGCGGCGTGAAGGCGGGTGGACGGGCAACTGCACTAGTGGCCTCCAGGTTCCCGAGCTGGTCCACCACCTGCGCTCAGTCTCAGTGCTGCGACTCTGTTGTGACCATACTTTCTGATCACGAGACTTGAACAACGTACAAGGTGTGCATGTGGAGGGTAGATATATGTATATATGCTAGCCCCCCTCCCAAACCAAAAAGCACCGCAAGGACAGTGCAAGCTTCCCGGAAGGCCGCGAAAGAACAAAACGCCATATCTGGCGTGCCCCCCCCTTAAAACCACGGTAAGGACAGTGCGAAGAAGTTGATGGTGACCCCCCTCCTGATCTTGAATCCAGAAAATTTTCCTGAGCGTCTTACTTCTAGAATCTTGCGGGCCCGTCTATACTCAATAACTGAATAAAACTGAAGAAGGAAGGGGAGGCTGCCAGATTAAGAGTGCTAATCTGCCCCTTTATCCGAAATTCCCATTGTCTGGCAAATTGAAGCAAAGGCAACAGAGAATGAAATCTGCGGCCATCATCCTTGTATCTTACAACTGGTTTCAGCGACAAGAAGAAACAGCAAGAGAATAATGATATGGGTTGAGTACTTGTGGATTTTTGTCCCACATGTCCTTTTGTTTCTCTCTTGACTGGGGGAGAAGAGGGGCGTAGGAGGAGAAGAGGCGCATAGCTTCGTCTAGAAAGGGCAGAAAGCAAGCCATGAGAGGGAAGAGTAAATCGTAAGAAGAAGGAACCTTAGGCAACTGAACAAAAGGCAGAAGATCTGAGCACAGCTCGTATTGGGAAGACGGAAAACGGTTAGCAGGTTAACTGCATAAACAAAGAGACCCGTCGAATAATGCATAAGGTCCTTGCCATATACGTATCCCCATAGAAAAGCTTCTGCCACGGCCTCCATTATCGGTTGCTTCATGAGTGCTTACTTTATCCAGAAAATCGAGAATCTTTTGCATGAGCATGCAAGAGCAGATTGCCATGCTTGTGCGCGGTACCTTTCTTCTTCTGTTTTCTCAGCAGGGATCGAGCTGCTGCTCTGAAAAATCCGCTCGGTGTGGCTTGCGGTCTGCTGACCGGCAACCATGACGATCGATTTATCTCGCGGAAACTTCTTCGGCTTCCGCGTCCGCCTGTGGCCTCGAACTCGGCAAGCCTTGAACAACCCTGCACGTCCCTGCACGTCCAGGTCGAGGATCTCACCGAGAATCTCCACCACACATCCCGCGGACTCATGCCTGCACTTTTGCCCTCAAGTGGTAGGGTGAGCTCAGGGTGTGGCTGCAGATGGGATTCAGTCCATTTGCATGGCTGCTCGAACTCTTGAAAATTTCTCAGCTCCATCGATGCTGCAGCTGCTCCAGGCAGGCCTGCAACAACTCTCTACAAAAGTGCCGAAGGTCATGACTTCCCCAGCTTGCGTGTAACATGGTGCGTCACTGAATGAATGCACCATGTGCCATTGTGACGTGTTGTTTCCACGCACTCTTCTTCCGCTAGCCATGCCTCCGCTGCCGCCGGCGATCCGCCTGCAGCCAGCAGCTTGGCGCCCAATTCCTGGGCCCGCAGACGCTGTGAAGCCTCAGTGAGCAAAATTGGTGACAGAAAGAATTCAAGATGTTCAAAAACTGCCCATGGCTGCCCTTAAGCCATCACGATGAGCTCCAAGCCCCCGATTCTCCAAACATAGCAGCTTGTCCAGCCTTCGAAATTAAGCACAAGATAGCACAAGCTACGCCATCGGGTTTCCAGTGGCACCCCGGCATGTCCCAGCATCCCCCGGTGCCTTGGCGATGGCTCCCGCAGGAGCTTCCATGGGCTTCCAGAGAACGATGCCGGCACCGGTCCCTGCAAGAACGCAGATAGCCAACAGAAAGCCAACAGAAAGCCAGAAATACCCTCCACCTCAGAGCCTCAAGCCCTCGAGCCGCTCTGAAAATCAGCATGGGGCACGAGTCCCAAACTACCAAGGCACTCTCGATGAGCTGGCCCATCTTCTGCTGAACCTGGAGAGATTCGCCATTTTGGGGGCACATATGGGCACATGCAACATCAGAGAGAACAACGTGCAACGTTTCAGCCGCGGATCCGAGCTGCAAGGAATGAGGACCATGGGCACACCAGCCAACAGGCCTTCCATAACGCTGTTCCCACCGCCATGAGTGATGAATGCACTGGCTCTGGACAGCGCATCCATCTGGGCAATACCTGGAGGCAGACTTGCAGTCTCCGACTGGAAAGGCCCCTGAGAAGTGGAGGTCCACTTCTTGCCCTCACCGAACCCTCACCCCAACAGAACTTATCACGAAAGATTGGCAGATCACAGCGACAGGTGCAAGCCATGTCGCTTCGGCGAGCGATGAAGTTGCCAGGGATCTTTCCAAGCCCTTCGGCTGCATCAGGTTGTGGCCCGATGGCCATGACCACACGAACATCATTACGGCCACGGAAACTCTCAACTAGCTCTCGCCACACGCGTCGGCTGAAGTCACGGCCAGTGAACGGCTTGGAATCACACTTGTGCAATATGTTCCATCCCTCCCCGACTATTTCCGATCCGAGACTGACGACCAGAATCTTCACTCCACCAGGGAGGGGCATTCGCCAGGGACAGTCGACCGCAGAAACATCACTTGGTAGTCGGTGCAGTTTGTTGGCATCCCGCACAAACACCCCATTAATGTGGTACGTCTGGTTTCCAGTGAAGCCAACCCAGACAAACGACAGCTCTTTCATCCAAGGCTTCTCCAGATCTTCAGACTCGACATCCGGGATTGAGACAATAATATTGAGGCAGCGGCTGAAGTACCTGCATGGCAAGAACTCTTTGAGACAGTTTGTGCCGAACTCGTCCTGAGCAATCATATTCGCAGCCTGCACACCCTCGTGCTCCGCAATGACGGCCGGCCAAGAGCTCTGCTGCTCATCTGGGAGGCAGGCCGGGTAGCGGTCCAACAAGAAGCATGAAACCACAGCCACGCAGGGGATGCCAAGTTTGGCTGACACAAGGCATGGATGCAGATCTGCAACACTGTAAATTACTAGCGAGGGTACCCAGGCACCCGGAGCTTCCCACAACTTCAGCAAACGCCTGGCAAGGCAAACTCCAGCCGGCAAGGCATAGAAATACCGCTCCAAGTCATGATGCTCCTGCACCACAGAGGGCAGCTTCCCCCTTTGAAACCAGTCTGCATCTTCAGCCAGCAAATCTGGCCAACAGCCAAGAAAGTCATCGAACAACTCAGCCGCAGCACCTGTATGCTGAATCACTCGCTCGAATGCTGGGTCTGCGATGTAGTACCGCACTTCACATTTGCGCAGGACCAGCTCGGAGACGATCGGCAGAAATCTATTCACTGTCCCAACGGATGACGAGCTGAACACAGCCACACGAGGACATGTCATTCCGTTGGATCATGAAGGCTGTGCCATGGATCATGCGCTCGCGGAGCCAATGATGGCATGTTGGGGTTGCTTCCCGTATGGCGTGGGATGTACTGCTGAAATACCATTGTCATACACTTGCTCCTACAGGCACGCTTGCAGTAAGTACCCTGACGCAAAGTCGTTGTTCTGTAGCTCTTGGTCATCAGATGCTGAGTGCTCAATGCCGTGCGCGAGAGTGGGCCAAAGATCAGTCAGAATTCAGGCACGGCAAGTGATAGAGCTCGTTCAGAGAAAGGCAAGAAGCGCGAAGTCACGCTGCAAGGCCAAAGGCAATTTACAGACAAAGCTTCGAGAGAGCCCCGTGGCCTTTTTGGACAGGCGAGGTACCTTGGCAACGAAGAGTGAACGAAGAGTGAGAGAGGCTCCATTTCAAGGTGATACCAAAGCAAAGCCGAAGTCTCTCCGTTTCAGGCAGCGGCTGCTGCTGCGGCTGCTGCGTTCTTGGCAGAACCTCGGTTTCCATTCACGCCGATGCCTAGAGCCCCCAGCAAAGTCCCAGAGCCTGCTTGAAGTTCACACGTTCGCACAAGGCACAAGCCCATACTGGCAGGCTGTCCGTTTTGGCGGATGAAATGTCGATTTGGTCTGCGTGCTTATCAAGCTGCGACATGCTCTGATGTCTTTGCAGAGCAGTTGAATCTCGCGTCTCTACCGCTTCACCAACCAAACCATGAAGACGAAGTCTCCTCCAAGCATCTGCATGTCATACCAAAGCGTGCTTGAGAACTCGTTCACCCTTCTCAATCTTGAGGCGGTCTTTTGGTTCGCTACATGCCGCTACCCCGCCTTCAACTTGAAGGGCTGCACCCGCACGGGTCGTGAAGAATTTCCTGGCGAAAGCTCGAAAGCATTGGTGTCACTGGTTTTGGTCCGTCCCTGCCTCCCGTGTGAGGGTAAACACCCACTGGTCCTTGCAAAGCCTAAGCACACACAGACACACAGACGCACTGACGCGCACAACCTGCAGAGAAACTGATAACGCGCTCCCACGCAAGGTGCACACCAACTTTGCCGAGTCAACATCCACAAATGTGACCTGCGGGTTCGGCTGAAGGTAGCTCTATCTGGATGTGTCTGTCTGCCTGTCTGACACATCCGTCACTTCACATGGCACGATGACCATCTGCCTGTTTTTTATGACGTTCTTCATCAACCGCGGAACATCCCTTTCAACACTGCTGTCATTGCTGTTACGCCTCACTGAACTTAACCTTTGTCGAAAGGTAACATCGTTGTGAGACCCTTTCGTCCTCACTTTGGTTGCTAGGTCGAAGCAGCCATGCCTGCTTGTGTTTTGACGAACTGTTGATGATGCCAGTGTGCGTGCAGTGTTTGCGATCCAGCTTACGCAAGATTCACCGGAGAACCTGACCATAAGCGCTCCCCGGCCCCCCGGACCCTGTTGATCCACTGGGGTTTCCTGGCATGGAGCCATCCTTCCGCCCCCACGCACCGGTTCCTCGTGTCGCGGCTAGGCGGAGGCGCTGAGCTGCAAGCGAAAAACACGAAAGAAGGCAAAAGAACAAGAATAGCGAAAATGCAAAAATTCGAGCAACGCGAAAGCGCGAAAACACATGAACAAAAACAGCACGCGAATTGTTGAAAAGAAACGCACGAAAAAGCGAGAGCAACGAAAGTGTGAACAGCGCATCGGATAAAAGCAAAATATGCAATACGGTATATGTATATATATGTACACTAGAAAGTACATCATCAAGAAAACTCCAAAAAAGTCATTGATGGTGGGTTTTTGGTGGTCCTTAACACTATTATAAGAATCGGACGAATGAAGATAACAAAGCGATTTATAGGGCGGTTGTGGAGAATACAATAAGACCGCCCAACAGCCCAATTTCACACTACTTCGTGCAGTTAACTTACAAATAATACAAAAATTGGGGCTTGCAGTGTGTTATTAGGAGAGCGCAGTGACAACCCCATTTTGCGCTCATAATGCTGTACGCAATAAGACCCTTGTAATGATACTATTCACGCGGGTGGGGCGGTGAAGTCAGTCCGCTGTTCAAGGCATTCCGAACCAAGCTGCTCGAACCGTCTGCACTGTGACGGGCGCAGGCTGGATACTCCACTGGCCAGCTTGGAAACTGATGAACGGATGGGAGGTCGACTGCTGGCTATATTAGGAGCTAGACTGGTGATTCTCATGGTCAAACCACATGTCTTGTTCATTGACTTTGCGCTCTTCATCCACGTCCCTTCTGCTCACCATGTAATGTAATAATATTACGCTTACCGTGTTCGCGCGTGCGCTGCCATAGTATTACAATTGCAACGACACAGGGACACATGAATCATAATATGCAATGCGTGAACATGTGAACGAAGTTATAACAATATGCTCGCGAACCAGCCGGGCAAAAGCCCAAATTACATTAATAAAAGCCCGCTGGTTTCATTGCGTCTTTATTTTCAGTAGGACGAACCCTGGTACTCGAGGGAGATGTCGTAAGTTGTCTTTATGAGGTTGGTGTTATAAGCAGTGAAAGGACGCCAAAACGCCAAGCGAAGAAAGGGGCTCGCTTCGCTCACTATTATAACGCTTGCTCAAGCAACGCTTTCAAGTTCTGCACGAGGGCAGGCAACGAAGGCTCAAAAAAACACGTCGGGAGTGCCTTCTTCACTTGATGGCCGTGTCGAAGGCGGAATAGAAAATAACACCCCTTATCCTTAGGATTCATCCGAAGTTATATAAATCAAGAACAAATACTTAAATGAGATATACCGGAACTAGGGCGAAGCAAAAGCCGAATAAAGAAGCAAACCAAAACAAGAAGAGGCAAAACGAAGCAACCACTCCAAAGAAGACAACGAAGTAGGAGACCACAAGAAGAAACCCAAACCCTAGAAAGAAATGAAAACAGAACAGACACGACGGAAGCTAAAAGATAGGAGACGGTGATACAAAACAATCAACGAAGCAGACACAGCAGCACGTAACCATCAAGACCCTAGGAACTCTATTTCTCCTATTTTGCTTTTTGGCGGGGTGGGGTCGGGGGTTGGGGGCGGGGGGGGCCTACGACAGGCAATGATTAAGCAAATTCGCACCGACCGCCCACGAACCACGCAAATTGTGCCCACGAATTTAGCAAACGCCCACGAAGTAGGCAAATTTGCCGCCCACTTATGCTCAGACGAAAGAGAGGTTCAGGATTATTTAGGGATCAAGGACTTGTGTTTCGGGTTTAGGGTTTAGGGTTTAGGGTTTCGGGTTTAGCGTTTAGCCAAACCCTAAAACCCGAAGCCCTAAAAAAACCTAAACCCTAAGATTTGCAACCTTAAGAACCCTAAGCCCTAAAACCCTGAAACCTTAAACCCGAGCCTAAACCCTAAAACCTTAAATCCTAAACCCCCACCACACCACCACCCAGGTTAGGGGAGGGCGGGTGGGAGTGGGCAGAGGAGGGGTGGGGGGCGGAGGGGTGGAGGGTGTTCGAGTGGGGGTGGGGCAAGTCGGGTGCGGGGGGGGGGGGGTGCGGGAGGGTGGGAGGGTAGGCACTAAGAGTTTCCGCGGAAGGCACGGAGGGGAGGTCACGGAGCGAGCGGGCCATCACGCTCCTCCCCGACAACTGGATATATCGCGCTCTGAACCTCTTGTCCACGTGTACCCCGCTCCCCTGCCCATCAAACGAATGTCACGCTCCACGTAAGAGCTCCCCTCTCCTTGTCCTCGCCCACCCGAACCCTTCCGTCCCCACTTCCATTGTGACCATGTCCTCTCTGTGGCCTCGTCCGACCCTCTTCCGCTGATTGTCTCCTCTGCGTGGCCTCTTCCGTCAGAGCTCGATCCGATAGCGTGCCTTCCGCGTTGAAGCGTTGAACGAGAACCCAACCCCAGAAAGATTTTCGGGAACAAGCTAAGAAAACAACGAGCACGCACAGAATGGGGGGTGGGCGCGTTGGGAGAGCGAGAGAGAGAGAGAGAGAGAGAGATGTATACATACATGTATATTGTACGTGCATATATAAATATATAAATATATAAATATGCTACCCCCCCCCATGGACCTACCAATTTCCTTTGTTTTTATCCATGAATTTCGCGGTCTAAGCCACATGGTTTGAAAACCATGGATTTTATGGATAACGTTGGTTTTACCGATGTTTTCGGGCTCTATCCTTCAAAAACATTGGTAGAACCAATGTCATCCGTGAATTGGGTGCTCCCAGCCACATGGTTTGAAAACCATGGGTTTTATGGATAACATTGGTTTTGCCGATGTTTTCGGGCTCCATCCTTCAAAAACATTGGGGTAAAACCAATGTTATCCGTGAATTGGGTGCTCCCAGCCACATGGTTTGAAAACCATGTATTTTATGGATAACAGTGGTTTTGCCGATGTTTTCGGGCTCCATCCTCAAAAACATGGGTAAAACCAATGTTTTCCATGATTTTCGTGATCTGAGGCTCTCTCCCAGCCACCATTTCTCGAGGTAGTACCAAGCAACAAACTCGAATCCTGCAAAATCTCGAGGGAGTACCAAAACCTCCTTATAATCAATCACGCCCCAATACGCAAGACATGACATCTGTCCTAAAAATACTACCTTAGCTACGATATCTCAAACAGTCATCCCCCGATAAGCAAGACCTAATATCTATACTAAACCTGTACCTTAGCAACATATCTTAAGACATCACGCCCTAAGGCTCCTACCAATTTAATAAGGTTCCTATCAATTTCAACAGGATTCTTATGCATGTTACTGGGATTCGCATAGGATTCTCATTAATTTTAAAGGATTCCTATTGGATTAGGCTCATACTAGTTTAGTAGGATTCCTATCAGTTCTTGTTAAAGGATTCTATTGTTTTTAAGGCCTATTGGTTCCTATTGATTTAGAAAGATTCCTTCTCGTTTTAATAGGATTCCTGTGACTTGTAACCCGGGTTGTTTCCAACTTGTTAATTTCCTATTCATTTGAATAGGCTTCCT